GCACCTGAAACCCAATGACTTTTATATAAGGTCTGGGCCAAAGGGCTTATTTGTGTTAGTGAAATGTGCAAATGTTTAGTGGTGTTCGTATTTTATTGCAATGTTTATTTTTTTACACGAAACAGCTGTTGGCAGTGACGTATTTCTATCTGTTCTCAGTATGTTGGCAGTGACGTATTTCTATCTGTTCGGAGATGTTCAGCAATGTTTACAACATTTTTACTTCTAACACCAGCAAGCTGCCTGTTGGCCCAGACCTTATATAAATGTCATTACCTGAAACCGACGGAGAATCGCAAGTGCTGTGATCAATGTGATTGGTCAGGCAGAAGGAAACAAGTCAGCACTTTCATTATCACGACGTTCTTATGCATAATATAGTGTGACGAAACGTTGGATCATGCGTAAGAACACCATGAGAACGAAAGTGTCGACTACATTCCTTCTGCCGCACCTATAGTAACGCACACGGTTCCCGCGCTGACTGTTCCTTACTTTCTCACTCTAATCAAAATTTCCTTCGATGAGTGAGAAAACAGCTCCCCGTCAACGCGAGCGAGAACGCGAGTTGCCAGATCATTGCACACAAAACCAACTTGAATTAATTCAAAACAAAAATACTAACGAACCTGGCGGTGAGGGGCGGAAGGTGGACTAAAATTCTATTACCACAAACGAAGTGACAGGCTCGAAAACTTTGGTGACTAACCTGCTATTGCAATTTTTCAGTGTACCGCATGGCAACACCACTACTACTGGATTGTACCACATGGCAACACAACTACTGGATTGTACCAGTATTTTCACCAAATGTATTAGAATGTTTTGGTTCTATCTCTTTCACTCTACTCAAAACTGAAATGCATAAAAAAATGACAAAATGATACACTCTTTGCACACTGTCAAAGAATCATTGTACACAAAATCAACTTTGTTCAAATCAAAACAAAAAAACTAACCCATCTGGTGGCTGATGGCACAAGCTTCCAAGAAAATTCTATTACAGTGAACCACATTATTTTAATTAATTTCTTCGCCAGTTAGTCGTCTGTCACTTCGTTTGTGCTATTACTGAGAACCACATTATTTTAATTATTTTCTTCGGAGAAAGTCGTCTGTCACTTCGTTTGTGGTAGTAGTGTTGCCATGTGGTACAATCCAGTAGTAGTGGTGTTGCCATGTGGTACACTGAAAAATTGAAATAGCAGGTTAGTCACCAAAGTTTTCGAGCCGCTCCGTCTGTCACTTCGTTTGTGGTAGTACACTGAAACAAGGATCATAGTTAGAAATACTATTTTGCAGAAAACACTTATTATCAATATAACCACGCTTATTACTGTTAAATCTACTATGAATTCAGTATAGTTGACTACGAATGTAAAACAATTTACTATGATTCTGGCGAAACTACTATGCTTGCTCAAAATGCATAGTAATTTTGATAGAAATAATACTAAAATTAAATGAAATTGTTTTCTGCACAAATCGTTTGGTGAGGGTATTTAATTTAAACCAGCAATATAGTATTTTTGCCAATGGATTTTGTATCAGTGTAGTGGTGTTGCCATGTGGTACACTGAAAAATTGCAATAGAAGGTTAGTCACCAAACTTTTCGAGCCGCTCCGTCTGTCACTTCGTTTGTGCTATAAATCAGGAAGGATTCGACCTAAAATTCCCACCGGCGATACTAGAAGCAGCAATATACCTTCAGTTGCTTCCTTAACCAGATATTGACATGATCATGTGGTATTCGATCATTGCGAGAATTTTTATGTACCACATCAATAGTGTTACGCATTTGACCACAAACGTTTGGTTTCTGGGTCATCATTATGAAATAGATGTGGCTGGCAGCAAGGCGTTCATTGAAAATCAACTCTTAAACAACACTAATTTATGGTGGTCCTGAAAAGGACCGTTTTGACATGATGATTGAGTAATGCTGAGCTATTAGGGATCAAGCTGGTGAGCTGTAAGTTTTTTGGAACGAGGGTATCACGCTTGGGATAGACAGCCCACAGCGGCTCACGACGAGCAACTGAATCCGATCAGTAGCGGTGTGGCTTCTTTCTCCTTCTTCGGTTTAATTGAGGGCTCTTGAGGGCAGCCCATATTTTTGGTTTTTTAATGTGTTAAATTACCTTGAAATAGAGAAGTTTTGTAACCGAATCAAAAATTTATTGAAAAATCTAAATTTTACGAAATGCGAGAGGGGAGGCCCTTAATACCGTTACGATATATGCAGAGGAGAGCTACTTTTTTTGCTTGATTTGTTTTCCGTTCTGAGTACCAATGTCCGACGCCAGGGAGGCAGCTCCCACACCTGGACCCTACACGCAAACCAAAAATCTATTACAATGAATGTTAGTTCCGTTTCCTATCATCCTCTGTTCATGAACATCGCAACGAATGTTAGGAATTGACCATGCAGGCGATGTAATGGCTTTTTGTCTTTTTTATTTCGTGTTCCATCTACGCTCTCGACTATACCAGTAAGCTTGTAGAACGACGTACATTGTAGAACGACGCACACACTTATCTCGAATCTCTCCAGCAGAAAAAGCATACGAAGTCGAGCATGCGAGAAAATGAGCGCTTCATCTTTGCTTTTAGGCTGACCATACTCAGAAGCATGGAGAGAGCAGTGGAGAAAGCACAGGTCTGATAGTCGCCAACGTCCGTGATTCGAGTCCAGTCGGCAACCTTTTTTCTATTTTTTCCGACATAATTAATTTCACTCACTAATACACTCCACATTTTTCGGTCTCCAATTTTCTTACATCGGACCGCAGCTAGGTATATCGCATCCTCGGTTCATGCGGTCTCCACTTACATCCTCTGATGATGAATCCCACATAATTGTAAGCGAATCTTACATCCACCGGTTGGGTGTACTATATACACCTAACCTACTATATACAAATTGCTTATCAAAGCATGTTCTGATAAATTACATTTTTGTGCAAATTTAGTTTTAATTTCGTTAATTCTGAAATCTATTTTGGCAATGCCTGTCTCTTCATGTAAATTTGTTATTCTAGTGTCGAAAGGACGATCAAGAACCATCCTCAGCACTCTATTCTGAGCGACCTGAATTGTGTTCCTGTGAGTCTTTGCACATGATTCCCACACCGGAGCTGCGTAGAGGATCGCAGGTGCTATAATTTGTTTGTAGACAGCCAGTTTGTTCACCCTTTAGAGGCGGGATCTGCGGCAAATCAGCGGATACAGACACCTAACCAAGGCAAAACACTTGACTACAGTTTTCTCTTCATGCGAACGGAAGATGAGCTTTTCATCAAACAACATCCCGAGATAGGTTACTTCAGCGGACCATTCAACCCTTGTGCCATCCATGATTGCAGTACAAGATGGAGCCGGTTTCAGTTTGGGCGATTGCCGATGGAGGAACATGATCGCTTGTGTTTTGGAGGGATTGATTTTGATTTTCCACATGGTGGCATAATCAGCAAAGGCGTTAAGGCATCGTTGAAGTTTGTTCGTTATTTCGCGAGGCATCCTTCCTTTGACGGCTATTGCGGTATCATCTGGGAACAGATGCAGAACACGCAACCGTCACCGAGGGGAGGAATGTCGGAAGTATAAATGCTGTAAAGCAAGGGGCCCAGCAAACTGCCTTGCGGGACTCCTGCTGGGATGGAAAACGTGTCGGAAAGACAACCATTCAACGATACCTTAAACGACCTTTGCTGAAGGTAGTTATGGGTGATTTTAACCAGATGTAATGGGAAGTTGAAGTTAGAAAGCTTGTACACAAGTCCGGCATGCCAAACATTGTCAAACGCCTTTTCAACGTCTAACAAGGCCATGGCTGTGGACTTGGATACAGTTTCATACTTAGGATGTTATTCATCACCCGTACTAGCTGGTGATTGCTGAATCCAAACTGTTCTGAAAGGAGGCTGATTGGTCTGTAGCTTGAAGACAATGTTGGATCCTTACCGGGTTTGCGGATTGGTATGATTTTTACTACTTTCCAGATGCTTGGAAAGTAGTGCAGTTCCAAACATCTGTTGAAGATAGCGGTTAGAAGAGACTGCACTTTCATGCTGAGTCTCTTCAAGATCAAGTCGAATATACCGTCAAACCCGGGAGCCTTCATGTTCTTGGTGCATTTCAGCGCTGAGAAAATCTGTTGTACTGTAATCATATCCGCCGGAGGCACGACACAAGGGGAGGCATCTAGGTTTTGAACGCATTGCGCAACCTGATCTTCGAGCGGACTTTGGATATTCGAGCCAAGTAAATGCGATGAAGCGACATGCTCGCCGATAGCATTTGCTTTCTCCTGTGGGGTGATTAAAAGCCGATCGTCATCATTTTCGACTTTGAGAGGTGATTCAGAAAAGTTTGGAATCTTCTCATAAAGTACTCAATCACTTGATAAAATTTTCGTAGCTTAAGTGACTAAGTGGAAGAGTTTGGAATTACTTTAGAAGTTACTGAATCACTTCAGAAGAGTTTAGAATAACTTTGTAAAGTACTGAAATACTTTTAGATTCACTGCGGAAAGTACTGAATAATTCAAAAACATAGTATTAACTTCCGCAAGTACTAAATCCACTTCTAAAAGAAGTGAATCATTTTAGAAAAGTTTGGAATCACTTCACAAAGTACTGAACAACTTTAAAAAAGTTCGGAATCTCTTCAGAAAAAATTCGGAATCACCTCCGAAAGTACGGAATCATTGGGGAAAGTTTGCAATCACTTCCGCAAATTGGAAAAGGTGGAGTAATATGACCAAGCCTCCGACAAGAGATTGCACGGTTTCGGAAAGCAGTCAAAATTCTTGAAGAATTTAGAATGTTTAATTTATTAAACTCAGTAATAACAACGAACATACAAAGGACAGGATTCATCTTAGTTCTAAAATAAAAAACGCAACTTCTGTCCTTAAATGCTACTAGTAACAATTAAAGCCTTTTATTTACAGCGACAGAATAAGTTAGTATGCTTAATTATAAATTCTCATTTGTACATTGAATTTTATAATGCTTAGTCAACTTCTTCAACGGTGGGTCCGGAATGACCTCCGAAGCCTCCCGCCTGTTGCCCACAGTTTGTGGCTCCCGCCGATGATGCTCCTCCTCCGCCCTGATGCAGTCGAGTCATGATCGGACTGCACACTCGACTCAGCTCCTGCATCTTGTGATCGAATTCGTCCTTCTCGGCCATCGTATTTCCATCCAACCATCGAAGCGTTTCCTCACATTTGTCCGTCACTATCTTCTTGTCCGATTCACTCAGTTTATCTCCGGTCGATTCCAGTGACTGTTTCAACTGGAAGCAGTAACCCTCCAACTTGTTCTTGGCCGAAATGCGTTCCTTTTGCTTCTCGTCTTCCTCACGGAATCTCTCCGCCTCGGCTAACATTCGATCGATGTCCGCCTGGCTCAAGCGGCCCTTGTCGTTCTTGATTGTGATGTTCTTCTCCTTTCCGGTACTCTTCTCCTTGGCCGATACATTTAGAATACCGTTTGCGTCCAGATTGAATGTGACCTCAATCTGAGGAACGCCTCTCGGAGCTGGTGGAATGCCTGATAGGTCAAACTGACCAAGTCGATTGTTGTCCTTTGTCATGGCCCGTTCTCCTTCGAACACCTGGATCGATACTCCTGGCTGATTGTCTGAATAAGTCGTAAATATCTGAGTTTGCTTGCATGGAATTCGGCTGTTGCGTTCAACAAGCTTGGTCATCACACCGCCAGCTGTTTCGATTCCTAGAGATAGTGGAGCCACATCTACCAGCAGCACATCCTGAATCTTCTCGTCCTTGTCGCCACTGAGAATGGCAGCTTGAATAGCAGCACCATAGGCCACAGCTTCGTCTGGGTTGATTGACAGGTTCAATGACTTTCCAGAGAAGAAGTTCTGGAGTAATGATTGGACTTTCGGAATGCGTGTTGATCCACCGACTAGCACTATGTCGTGGATTGCACTTTTGTCCATTTTGGCATCCTTCAGAGCTCTCTCAACTGGTTGCAGTGTTGAACGGAACAAATCCGAGCAGAGTTCCTCGAATCGAGCTCGGGAGATTTTCGTGTAGTAGTCGATTCCATCCACAAGAGCATCGATTTCAATGGTTGCTTCAGTGCTGGATGAGAGTGTTCGCTTTGCTCGTTCGCATGCCGTTCTCAAACGTCTTAGAGCACGAGGATTGGATGAGATATCTTTTCTGTACTTGCGTTTAAACTCGTCCACGAAGTGCGACACCATACGATTGTCGAAGTCTTCTCCTCCCAGATGAGTGTCACCCGCCGTTGATAGTACCTCAAATAGCGATCCCTCGTTGATCGTAAGAATCGACACATCGAAAGTTCCGCCTCCCAGATCAAAAATCAATACATGTCGTTCGCCTTTCAGGTTCTTGTCCAGACCGTATGCTAATGCAGCAGCCGTCGGTTCATTGATGATTCTCATGACATTTAGGCCTGAAATGACGCCAGCGTCTTTCGTGGCCTGACGCTGAGAATCGTTGAAATAAGCAGGAACTGTGATGACGGCTTTATTCAGACTCTTTCCCAGGTAAGCCTCAGCCGTTTCCTTCATCTTCACCAACACCATCGAGCTGATTTCTTCCGGTGAGAATCGCTTCCTTTCACCTTTGAACTCGACTTCAATCTTTGGTTTACCGCCATCGTTGCACACCGTGAACGGCCAGTGTTTGATGTCGGCCTGAATCTTTGGATCATCGAACTTGCGACCAATCAATCGTTTGGCGTCGAAAACTGTGTTCTTCGGGTTCATCGCCACCTGGTTCTTGGCCGCATCGCCGATCAGCCGTTCCGTGTCCGAGAATGCCACATAGCTGGGGGTGGTTCGATTTCCCTGGTCGTTTGCGATGATTTCCACTTTACCATTTTGGAACACACCCACGCAGGAGTATGTCGTTCCCAAGTCAATACCGATTGCAGACATTTTTACTGTTTCACTGTGTTTATTTTTTCAACACTTGATTCCAAATAAATCACTTTCTACTTAGAAATGCTTCACACACTTTTTGATTGCTCCAAATTTTGAAAAAAAATATTTTGCGTTTTGCTTTCACGCTTTGGTTGTGTTCACTTGACTGCTTTGCTCTCTTGTTTGAACTGTTTTGAGATGAAGTGCTCGAATCGGGCGGTTATATAGTGAATAAGAGCATTTCTAGAATATTCGAGCAGCTTCCATGAACGTTCGAGCACTTTGGTATATATGTTTCTCGAATTTGCTCGTATCTTCTCTGTTTACTCATCGTCTCTTCGTCTGTGTGTGTGTGTGTTTCACGAAGGTTCTGTGTTTTTACAGTGATACCTACATTATCACGGTATGTTTGAAATAATTTTGAGCATAATCTCATTTTGAAAATTATGGAATGTTAAGCTATGCAATTGAAAACACCGATTCGTGGTTAGTGATTTTGGAAAATTTTCAAAGGTTTTCAATGAGATTTCAATGATCCCCTATTTTCGAGGCTTTTTTAATATCGAGTTCAATTCTAATATATTCTAATATCAAATATCTGTGGTGAATAGTCTTCTCAAAAATCATAATATCTTCAATACTTAAGACATCTCTTCAGATTGGTCATCCATGCTCCCACGGTTAAGCAAAATTTCAATAATAATTCTAAGTGTTTTTATGTTACTTCATACGCGAAGTTTGCGATTTTCAGAGTTGCAATAGGTCGTATAATATTGATTGGTTTAAAACCGTTTGTTGTTTAACAGCAAGGCTATCAATACCTTGCTCAGTCGATAGCAGTGCTCCTGAGATGTTGGTTAATGGGAATTTTGAATAACAATCGATCTAATTTAAAATAGAAACAATCTGTTTTTCACCAAAACAAAACACCTGAGCCGGGATTGCTCTACGGAGTACCAGCAACACCTTTATTTACTACACCTCCAAATATTGATCTCAAAAACGATGAATCAACAAAACGCATACAACCTTACCAGAATGTACAAGAACTATGTGCTCGAAATATTCCCTCTCCTTCTTGTTTCTCACACTCAAATAAATTGACCTAGAAATGTGAAGGGCATTCTAGAAAGCAGTTTTGCAGAGCATCCATCCGTGTTGTATCGAATTTTCGTGAATCAGGTAGCAGTTACGGTGCGAAGGTTCACCAAAACCGAATGAACACTCTCGGTGAAGGTGCTCGAACATTCACGGAAGCCACCCGAATGTTCTCGATCTGCTCGCTTTCTCCTATATAAACGCCCGATTCGAGCTCCTCTCCCCATAATTGTCCAAACAAGAGAGCAAAGCACAAGCAAGTAGCGACAAAACACGATTGAACTAAAAGAAAATTCAAATTCAAAAGTGAACAAATTTATGAAACAAGTTGAAAAGAGTGCATCAAGTTATAAGTGATTTCTATATCAAGTGTTACAAAACTACAGTGTAAGAGTAAAAATGTCTGCAATCGGTATTGACTTGGGAACGACATACTCCTGCGTGGGTGTGTTCCAGCATGGCAAAGTGGAAATCATCGCAAACGACCAGGGAAACCGAACCACCCCCAGCTATGTGGCATTCTCGGACACGGAACGGCTGATCGGCGATGCGGCCAAGAACCAGGTGGCGATGAACCCGAAGAACACAGTTTTCGACGCCAAACGGTTGATTGGCCGCAAGTTCGATGATCCAAAGATTCAGGCCGACATCAAACATTGGCCATTTACGGTGTACAACGATGGTGGCAAAACGAAGATCGAAGTCGAGTTCAAAGGCGAGAGGAAACGGTTTGCTCCGGAAGAAATCAGCTCGATGGTGTTGACAAAGATGAAGGAAACGGCTGAGGCTTACCTGGGAACAAGCGTGAAGAATGCAGTCATCACAGTTCCTGCCTATTTCAACGATTCTCAGCGTCAAGCCACGAAAGATGCTGGTGCCATTGCAGGACTGAATGTCATGAGAATCATCAATGAACCGACGGCTGCTGCATTGGCTTATGGGTTGGATAAAAACCTCAAAGGTGAGCGAAATGTGTTGATCTTCGATCTTGGAGGCGGAACCTTCGATGTCTCGATTCTGACCATCGACGAGGGATCGCTGTTTGAAGTTCGATCTACGGCTGGTGACACTCACCTGGGAGGAGAAGACTTTGACAATCGAATGGTGTCACACTTCGTGGACGAGTTCAAACGCAAGTTCAAGAAAGATATCTCATCCAATCCTCGTGCTCTACGACGTCTGAGAACGGCATGTGAACGAGCAAAGCGAACATTGTCATCCAGCACTGAAGCCACAATTGAAATCGATGCTCTCATCGATGGAATCGACTATTACACGAAAATATCCCGAGCTCGATTCGAGGAACTCTGCTCTGATTTGTTCCGTTCTACACTGCTACCAGTTGAGAAAGCTCTATCCGATGCCAAAATGGACAAGAGATCAATCGATGACATAGTACTAGTCGGTGGATCAACACGCATTCCAAAGGTCCAATCATTGCTTCAGAACTTCTTCTGTGGAAAGTCTCTGAACCTGTCAATCAACCCAGACGAAGCCGTAGCTTATGGTGCTGCTATTCAAGCTGCCATTCTCAGTGGCGACAAGGACGAGAAGATTCAGGATGTTCTGCTGGTAGATGTGGCTCCACTATCTCTAGGAATCGAAACAGCTGGCGGTGTGATGACCAAGCTTGTTGAACGCAACAGCCGAATTCCATGCAAGCAAACGCAGATATTCTCGACTTACGCGGACAACCAGCCGGGAGTATCAATCCAGGTATTCGAAGGAGAACGAGTTATGACCAAGGACAACAATCGACTTGGCCAATTTGACCTGTCAGGCATTCCACCAGCTCCGAGAGGCGTTCCTCAGATTGAGGTCACATTCGATCTGGACGCAAACGGTATTCTAAATGTATCGGCCAAGGAGAAGAGTACCGGAAAGGAGAAGAACATCACAATCAAGAACGACAAGGGTCGATTGAGTCAGGCGGACATCGATCGAATGTTGGCCGAGGCGGAGAGATTCCACGAGGAAGACGAGAAGCAGAAAGAACGTGTTTCGGCCAGAAATCAATTGGAGAGTTACTGCTTCCAGTTGAAACAGTCACTGGAATCAGCCGGTGACAAGTTGAGCGAGTCGGACAAGAACACAGTGAAGGACAAGTGTGACGAGATCCTTCGATGGTTGGATGGAAATACGATGGCCGAAAAGGACGAATTCGATCACAAAATGCAGGAACTGAGTCGAGTGTGCAGTCCAATTATCACTCGGTTGCATCAGGGCGCAGGATCATCGGCAGGACCCTCGAGCTGTGGCCAACAGGCGGGAGGCTTCGGAGGCCGAACGGGACCCACCGTTGAGGAGGTCGACTGAATAGATTAAATATCAAGATTTGATTGAAGATGAATGATTAGAAATCAACTCTGCGTGATCGATTACAAATAAGTTATTTATTCAATGAGAATGTGGACTGAGTATAGATATTATACAAATTATATTATTTTCATGAAAATAAACGGTTTTAGTTTCCCTTAAATTAAACTTCGTTGTTTGCTAGAGTGTTATACAAATTTAACATACCGAAATCATGTTTTTATCTTCCATGCTAATAATTTTTCGATTGGGTGGAATTGTGGACAGTTGGATGGGTTGATGTGCTTGGCCACAAAATCAACAAAGGCCTGAATAAGCTTTCGATTAAAAAATATACGTTTCGACATCAGTAGTTTACCATGCGGGACCGAAATCCGTGCATCTAAGAAATCCATCCAACTCATATATTTTCCATCAGTTGCACGTATTGATGACTTTATAAATAAGTGAATGTACCTTAAATTGTATTCCGTTTGATCATAGTTTGTGAACTCCAGTTTGAAGAACTGAGAGGTTTAAAATATTTAATCGGTGAAAATATAAATTTTCCATAGTTTTAATATGTAAAAGTATGGATAGAGTTGAGCCACAAGGATTTAATATGTTATGTGTGTTGTGTAATAGGGTGTTTCATTTTGAAAAAAGTGATGAATTTTTGATAGGCCACCCTCCAGTTCGATTCATAGCCCCAAAATATGAACCTGTGCAAAAAATGGTAAAGATTGATGAAGGTTTAGAGGTCGCGCCAATGATTTGGATTTTGTATGGAGATTTTGGTGAATTAGTATGGGAAATTATTGATTTTCGTTTACATTGCTCTAACTTTGGTTGTAGTTGTCCAAACGTTGAAAAAAAAAAATATGTGGTTGTCATGACAATGATCAACAAGCCTGTTGTTGTTGCGATGAAATTGGCGTTGTTGCCTTGTACATATTCATCTGTCAATTTACCCTATTTTGCCATTTTTTCACATTTTTATAATTCTTGATACGCTGCAAAACTGAGCGTAGCAACTGTAGGCTTTTTGTTTATTGCCATAGCAATAACATACTAAATTTTTTCGACATTTGGACAAGTAGAAGCAAAGTTATAGCGATATAAGCGATTTTTTAAATTCTTCCATAGTAATTCCCATACAAATTTCAAATCATTGGCGCGACCTCTAAACCTTCATCAATCTTTACCAATTTTTGCACAGGTTCATATTTTGGGGCTATGAATCGAACTGGAGGGTGGCCCATCAGAAATTCATCACTTTTTTCAGAATGAAGCACCCTATTGTGTAATGAACTTTATAAATATGTAAAGTGTTGTAAATAAATTGTATGTTAATAGTATAAACTTGACATGGAAATATATGTGATGTGTGATTGAATGGGCGAATGTGCTGTGTTATAAAGAATGTGGATGGAGGGAACCTCAAGAAGAAACCAATCGAAGCGCCTACATCCGCTCTTATAAATGCGCCTACTTAGGTCCCACCCCAGAAACGACAGTGCCTTTTATTATCCCCCCAAACGGTGTTGGGAAGGGTCCGGTAACCCAACATAATGGTTATCTGGAAATTAATAAACGTACACGACGAACAAGGAGAGCGCTGCAGCGATACAGCTGGGTATCGCGTAATCAAGTACCATAGGAGGTGTAAAATGCGTGCATCACTCTACAAACTATACGACCTAAACCCATCCCTCGATCGCTTATGG